GAATAAGAGATGGCTTGGATGACAAGATTTCTAACCATGCTGGCGTTTCTGGCAATTGGGTTAATTTCTAGCCGGAAATCTTCGGATCGAAATTGGACGGCCAGAACTCACTTGTGCTCGTGACCGGACTGAAATTGGCTCACCTCCTCTGTTTTTCCATCGCCTGGGGCGCTGCCTTGTGGGTGACTTTCATCGGCGGCATTATCATGTTCGAGTAATGATTTTTTTTCCCTTATGTTTAGCTATTAATTGAAATAGCAGCTGCTCCAATTTTATCATCTTGTTTGTATGGTAAAAAATTCATCGCAGTTGGGAATTTAAGTAATATATATGAAATTCCAAATACTAAATGTTGGGTTTTGAGAAGGGGAGTGACATTAAGCAAAAAGTTTGATAATTTTTTATTCTGAAGCTGCAACTTGTCTTAATTATGCAAATTGTGATTATTTTATAGTAAATGTTTACTCTTCATTTTACCTCTTTCAATGTGGTTGTTTGCATCCGAACATATTGTTTGCAATTTTTTGAAAAAACTTTTATTGTTTATAGATAGTTATTTGCATAATCAAGAGATAATATTTTATTATTTATACATAGTTGTTTTCATGTTACTTGATAAATGTTATGTTGTTGTTTTATTGTTGTTTGATAAATGTTATGTTGTTTTATTGTTACTTTTGATGTTTTCATAATATACATTATTAATTTTTTAAGTTACAATAACAAATATTTCTATTGCTTTTTAGTTAATTTAATTGTATTGATCAATCTTTTTTAATTTTTATTGTTTTTGTTGTTGTTTTTATTCTCAGGTGTTGAAGATTGAAGAAAGAAATTGAAAAATAGGTTGAAGAAGAAGAGAGAAGAAAAAACGTGAAAAGAAAAATAGAGAGAGAAGGAACAAAGAGAATAAAATGCGGAAGAGAGATCAAACAGTTATTGATTTTAAATTTTCAATTAATATTTTTATTTGTAACTTCCTTTTGAGACAATTTTGGAATTCAGTATGTTATGCTGTTTTAATGGAATTTCTTTTTA